TATTAGTATAAATATACCCTTCCTACACTATCATCAAGAGATTCAAGTCACCATCATCTACCATGTCTAATAATCCCATAATTTAAATGTAAAAGTGTCATTGTAGGTAATACAAATAACTCAAGAGGATTTTGTAAGTTTATTTCACTGCAAGTGCAATAGTAATTTATTTAAAAGTTTAATTATTTATTTATTTGTAAGATTAATTTTTTTTAGTAATTATCTTTTATAGTTTATTTTACACTGCATATATTTTTCACTAGATAGAGTTGTATTCGAATTGAATAGGAATATTATACCCAAAACCACAAACTTGAAGGTCCCGTTTAGATGACATAACCATAGATGACATAACCAACGCTGGTTGATACAGACATTCGGTGATACTATCATCTTTCATAACTGTTGTAAAACTCTTGGACACAAAATATAAATAGTAGAAAACAGTGTTAATATTAATCTATATGTTTGGTCATGAATCATGATCATGGCATAGTGGATATAATTATGAGGCATGGCCCATAACATTTGTTCGGTATGTGAAAAAATTGTTGGGCCGTATTCTGCAATTAATAATTTGAACAGAACAAAAAGCAAAAGCTGATATAAGCAGGCGAGACCGAGACAACAACATTCCGCGAGCCTGAATAGGATGACAGCACAAAATGAATTGATGACTCAGACAAAGGGTTCAATTTATGGACCCATTGAGAGATATCAAGTTCAACAAAATTATTTCACACTTTATGTTGATATAATCATATTAACAACCTTTGCACACACACATTGATTCGTAATTCTACTGTATGTGTACACATTATACAGTATTAACTTTGATGCATTTAGTGTCAATAAGGTGCCACTTTTTTAATTTGGTAAAGCTTTCTTTATAGTTTATTGTAAGAATCTGAAATTAAATTCTAACATTATTTTGTTTTTGTCCCTGGAGTATCCACTACCGATAGCTGTGATTAATATCCTTGTTACGTTAGAAGCACCTCAAAAGGTGAGATAGTTGACCCCAAAACTTAACGCGGCTGCATACACAAAGCAGGATTCGAATCCTTGACCTTGCTTCAGCGTGGATCAACCTATACCACTGAACCACACGTTTGGGATTTCCAACATTATTTATTTACACTTCGGTGTGTGTAAGTACAAGATACTTATACCCTGAAATTTAAATGAAATAGCGAATGACCTATTTAAGACAAATGTAAAGCGTGATTGATACTTTTGAGATAAAATCTAATTAAATTTTTCTTTTTAAGATTAATCTACGATAAAATTAATAAATATTTTATATCATTGATATGATTAAAAAAATTATTCAAGTCAAATGTAAAATCATGTGATATTTAATAATCAATGATAATTTACTTTTCTTTAAAAACAAAATTTTTCATCTAAATTACTTGGTTTCATTTGACACTAATTAATATTTGGAGTGTTCAAAATTAAACCAATTCAAATGAAAATTATAAACCGATCCATAAATAAAAAATTGATAGAAAATTGTAAACTTGTAGTTTGATTCGTTTTTTAAACTTTCAAAACTATTGTTCAATTCGATCGATTTTCGGATTGGAATATGAAACCACTCCAAATTAAACTAAATCAACTTATTCATAAGATATTTTTTTTTTCAAATGCATAGTATATATATATATACACACAAAATTGACACATAACATAAAATGTATTTTATAAAATTGTAAGTTACTAAAAAAGGTTATTCTCTTTAAATATATAATATAATATTTAAAATGTGTTTTATAAAATAGTAAACTATTAAATTGAATTATAGAATGAAAAATTATGAATTATTAATTTATAACATTCAGAAAGAAAAAAAAATGTTAAGTGACAAACTATATGTATGAGAAAAAATATTTAATATAATAACTAAAATTATATTAAAAAAACATTTTTACTAAAATAATAAGATAAGTATTGTTGTTAAATATATTAAATGATTAAAATATTTTAGTATTTATATACCTTTAATTTTATTTTTGATGCAATCTTAAATAATTAATACAATATTTCATATTTTTAATTGATTTTCAAATGACAAGTTTTAAAATTGTAAAAATCAAATCAAACTAGACCGTAAAAGATTGGTTTCGTTTGATTCAGATTTCATAATTTATTCAAACTGAACTAAATTGAATCATGTTTGGTTCAGATAATTTTTAAGATAAAAATTAAATCAGATCATAAATACCCCTATTTAATACAATATTTTTTAGAAGTTTAGAGAAAATACTTCTAGACAACATATTAAACTATGGAACCACAAATATATATATAAATAAATAAAAACTTAAAATATTCATTCATAACAATTAAAAAAATGTTATGAATATTGAAATATATTGCATTAACTATTCCCTGTATATGTTTTAATTATTAAAAGTGGGTAAATTGTTACATAGTTAACTTAAAATGAATGTATCGTATAATAGTTTATAGAAAAAATGCTAATGACATGTTTTTTTTTTTACTTTTAAATATTTTTTTATTATTAATCACAATTTATTAGAATTGATAAATGTTAGGACACTTTTTCTAACCCATTTTTTATATTATTCACCATAATTTGTTAAAAATTATAAATTTTGACAACTATCACATCTTATTTAATAGGTATCTTATAATTGAATGATACAACAATCAAAATTTATAACGTTTTCGACTACTCATGAGATAAATGTTAGAAAGAGAGCACTAAAAATTAGTGTTATAAGCATCATTTTTAGTTGATGTAAGCTTTATCTACGGAAACATTAAAAAAAATAATTGAACTTTTAAAAGTAAATAGATAATCAAGAGAGATGAAAAAACACTAGAGTTGAAAAGTTAGGAGAGTATTTTGGGTAGTATTTAAAACTTCGCTACAAGCTATTAATATAAATTACTTTATCAAACAAATTTATTTTTCTTTAACAAAATTTTCAACTAGCTGAAAAATGTTTTCCAACACACTCTTAAGTCTTTTATTTGCCTTTCAAAACAATAGAACGTCTTTATATTTTTTTCAATGATTGTTTACATCAATCAACCCTTTAAAAGTGGTGGAGTTGGAGGCGCCCACTTTTTGCATGGGAAGAGGAAAAGTTGGTTGAGTTGGCTAATAGGTTGGCCTCGGTAGTTTTGACAGAGGCTCACCCAGATGAATGGCGTTGGTTAGCCGAAAGGTCAGGGAAATATTCGGTGGCATCTGCTTATAAGATTTTAGCAAAGTCAAACCATGTTCAAGTGGACACTTTTTATGATACGATATGGGCCAAAGGTATCCCTCCTAAGGTTCAAGTTTTAGTGTGGCAGTTGGAAGCGGACAGGTTACCTACCCGGGATAACCTCCTTTTGAGAGGGGTTAATCTAGAAGGACAAAATGGTTGTGTTTTTTGCGAAGAAGGCTCGGAGTCCAGCAAGCATTTGTTCCTCTTGTGCCCAAAGGCTTATGCTGTTTGGGTCAGATTATACGCTTGGTGGGGAGTGTCAGGGGTGCTTATCAACGAACTTAGGAGTTTTTGTCATCAATATATGGGATTGGTGAGTGGCAGTAAGGGTATTAAGCGAGTTTGGTCCTTTGTTTGGTTTGCAGGTATATGACAGTTATGGAAGGCTCGAAATGAGAACATTTTCAAAGACAAACTCTTTAAGGTGGAAGAGATCGTGTTCATGGCACAGTTGAGATCGTGGGAATGGTGTACGGCTGCTAGAATGGTGTCTTCTTCTTTTCCAGAATGGTTGATGAACCCATTGTCCTGTGCAAGTGTCCCTTAAATTTTTTTTCTTCTTATTTTTAGGTCATCTTGTTTTTAATTATGACTTGCACTTCTTGTGCACAATTTTCTTGGAATTAATAAATTCTTGGCTTATCAAAAAAAAAATCAACCCTTTAAAAGTATAAAACATTCCAAATTTATTCTTTCTGTCACTATTTCTGTTCTCCATAAAGGTCAATATAATGATGCTTAAATTTTTGAAAAATATATTTGGTGATAACAAATTTAAAGACTAATGTAATGAGATACTAACATTTTGAAGATATAATTTAATGTAAAAAAACTTTAACACTCTAATCTTTAGAAAATTAAACAGAGTTTTTACTTTAAAATACATTATATGTTATTTATTCTTTTAATCCCGCTGTTAACGAAATGAACGTGATGCAATACTCAACTTTAATAATTCATTAAATAGATCATAAATCTAGACTTTAGAAAATAAATAATCAGTATTTTTAATTACCATGATATTAAAGATAATTTGTTTTCATTTTTGTTTTATTGTCATGTGTATACTAAATATGTTGAAAAGTTCGGTGTTTTGCTGTAAGACCACAAGGCCTTGTATTCCAATCGAGAACATGCATAACATGGAAAAAGTAAAACTATTTCTAGTGAGCATTTTTTTTATGAGGTTCGAATTTGATGTGTTGTTAATTAAAAGAAGAAGGAAAAAAACTGAATCTCGATTTTGTTGCATTGAAGTCATGATATATATTATTATTATTTTTAAAGGTGTTATTGGCGTAAAATATATATATTTTAATCTATCAACTTTAGCAAGTTTACGTCGTTTAATTATGATTTTTTTTTTCATTTACAAAATTCAATCAAGATATATTATTTAAGAGTTTAGAATGAAATTCTACTTATATTGATAAATTATTGACTAATTATTTTTTATACTTATAATATTAATATGAAGTATTTATCAACTTTATTAATAACTAATTTATCCAAGAATTTTTGCCGATGACTTTTATTAAATTTCTCATTCTTATCTATGTTTTCTTTCATGTCAAAAAAAGACTGAATTCACAATTTTACTTAAGACCTTTATCTGGTATCAATGAATATTTTGTTATTTTCGGTTAATTTGTGGTTAACCTATTGTTTAGTTGATTTAATATTAATCTACATTGTACTTCATGTAATTCTATATCTATGGTGTGCATAGCACAAGTTGTTGGAAGAGAACAACAAACATGGAAGTACAACCCCACCATAGGAATCTATTTTATAATCCGGGTTCTGAATGTTCAAGGTGTGGGCTTGGAACCATAAATTCACACCACCACACACACACACACACTCTCTCTCTCTCTCTAAGCAGGACCAGCTGTGGAAGTTGTTGACAATTTGAAAACTGGAAGGCAGTGAACAAACTTCGAGTTCTTCTCACTCAGTGGTTCCTCTCCAGTCACAATTCTGTTTACCATAATGGGCATGAGAAGACACTCAAAACACACCAATGATCCATTTTTTGCATCTCACCACAGAACAAGACAACACCAATGCAAACAACCAAACAATCATGTTGCCACATGTGCACAACAGAACCATTCTCCAAAATTGGCTTCTTTCACTTCCCAAAATGCTCCACCTGTGCTACTGCTACCTGCTTTTGTTGCCTTGCTGCTCCTTCTTTCTTCAATTACCCCAGCAGCATTGTGCCACACCCTTCAGGGTAACAACACTTTTAGGCCAGTCCACGAGTTGCTCAAGTTGAAGAGAGTTAGAGCTCACTTGAAGAAGATCAACAAGCCTGCTGTCAAGACAATTCAGGCATACTGACACTTTTTTATTTTTTCATTTTTCTTCTTGTAATCAAGAGTGTTCCCAACTCCCTCAATCAGAGACTAATTACTAGTTTTACTCATACTCTGACTATTGTTGACTAGATGAGTTTTGGCACATTTTTATTCTCACTTAGTTGAATAAGACTTTTGTTGATGTTGTTGCTATTGTTGAATTTGTTGTGATATTGGGGTTTTGTTATTTTGTTGCAGAGTCCAGATGGTGATTTGATAGATTGTGTTTTATCTCATCAACAGCCAGCTTTTGACCATCCTGACCTTAGAGGGCAGAAACCATTGGTAATTTGAAGCAACTCATTCATGCCACAAACAAAATGGTCTTGCTTGATTTGAAGTTTTACATGTTCACATTTTTTTGTTCTTTTGTTGTTGGTGTTGACTGAGTTTGAGCTAACATTATGGTATTCCTATATGTCTCTAGGCTATTGTTTTTTAATATGGTCTAAATAAAGGACTAAAGGGTTTAAATTTGGCATTGGATTTGACAGGATCCACCAGAGAGGCCAAAGGGAAACCACACAATTGGTGAAACCAAAAGGGTAAGTGAGAGCTTTCAGCTCTGGAGTGATTCTGGTGAAGAATGCCCCGAGGGAACTGTTCCAATCAGAAGAACAACAGAGGAGGATATTCTCAGAGCAAGTTCTATCCGAAGATTTGGAAGAAAACCAAGACATGTACGGAGAGACTCATCTGGCAGTGGCCATGAGGTTTGTGATTTGACCAAAAAAAAATTGACTTTTCCATTTTCTTCCAAAGGAATCTTTTTCTTTTTCTCTTATTTCATGGTGCCTTCCTTCACCCATTTCCCGCTATTTTCCACACCATAAAGAAAAAGAGAGACACTGCTTTTCCGTATGTGTAACATGAGTTCCAAAAACAGCAGGAACAGACAGTGAAGGGACACCACTCATAAAAGTTTGCCCTTTGTTTGCTCCAAAAAGTAAAATCTAAATCATGCTTAGATGAGGAGGCTCTTCTTGTATCTATGTTCCTTAGTGGATACCAAGCATATTAAATTAAAAAATAATTTATATATGATTACTGAATTGAAGTACTTGTTTATTGACATGTGTCTTAATTAACCCTATTGCAGCATGCAGTTGTTTTTGTGAATGGAGATCAATATTATGGAGCAAAAGCAGGCATAAACGTGTGGGCACCTAGTGTAACAGATGAGTTTGAATTCAGCTTGTCACAGATATGGGTTATTGCTGGCTCCTTTGGTAAAGATCTCAACACCATAGAAGCTGGTTGGCAGGCATGTCCCTACTTTCTTAAATATTTATCCAACTTGCACATATCTCACTTCATCCCAATGAATCGCTGCCCCAAATAATATTAGAATCAGTCCCTTTAACCAAGATTTTAAATGTGAGTCTTTTGCATGAAAAAGATATAATTAAAAATGAGATTCTACTTAAAAAATAGTAAGACAAATTTTCTAGTAGAAATTAGTCGTTGATTAAGTTAATAAATATCATGTAATAATTAAAAAAAAAGTTCACTTTATCCTTTCTTATTTTATTAATTTTCAATCTTTTTTCTTCTTCTTTTGAGTTATAAGTATCAATAGTGGCAAATGCATTTGTTTCTTTCTTATTTCCTTAACTTTTGGGTAATAAGTAATGAACATGTAAATTTTCCTTCAGGTCAGTCCACAACTTTATGGAGACAATTATCCAAGGTTCTTCACTTATTGGACTGTGAGTAATTTAATTTGCATGCTTCCTTTTGCTTCTCTTGTTTTATGCATCTTACTCTTACTGATTGATATATATATATATTATTTTCACAGACTGATGCATATCAAACAACTGGGTGCTACAACTTACTCTGTTCAGGATTTATCCAAACTAACAATAGGATAGCAATAGGTGCAGCAATCTCCCCAAGATCCACTTACAACAGAAGACAGTTTGATATTGGCTTAATGGTTTGGAAGGTGAGTGTGTATTTATTTTTCTATTGAATTCAACAATTAAAAGACAAAAGAAACAATCATCTCTTTTCTTCACTTACAAGGTTTAATTAATTTTTAGTTTGAAAGTTGGTTTCGTAATTTGAACTTTATGTTATAGTACTTGATTTTAGTTATATGCATGTGTCATAGGAAGCTTTAACATATCCTACTAGGATCTAGAATATGGTCAAACAATAATTTAATTGGTTTTTTTTTTTCTTCCCCTTTTTTTGAGTTTTTCCACATGTTATTGTTATTATTTTTTAAAATGGAAGATTCCGTTTGCTACCTTGATGGGGTCGACTTTATCTGTGTCTTTTACTTTTTTATAAAGCAATAGTTCACGCTTAATTTGCTTTTATTCTAGTCTTACCAAAAACCTAAGAAAGCTACACTTGACCATGATGCTTCTTTTTCTTGTTTCTGCCTGTGTCCAATAATAATGATAAACAAGAAGTTTAACCCATCACTATTAGTATTAATCAATTAAGCACTTCAATTTTCTACTTGAATCGTGGTTGCTACTCCACGTAGCGTGTGTGGTCTGATCTGGGTATTAGTGAATGGGTCGCACTTGGGGAAGCACGATTGGTTACTTAAAGCTAAAGGTCTTTCTGTAATAACTAGGATGAATATGTTCATGTTATGTGTTCTAACTTGAATGTTAAGGATGGATCAATGAATGTAAAATACTCGAAAATTTGAAAAAGATTTCAATTAAAATAAGTTTTTTTTTTTTTTTACTAATTTGTATACAAACTTTTAAAGTAAGAAATAAAATAAATAATATTTTTATAATTAAAATAAAACATTTTCTCACTTTTCTTTAATAAGACTTTCATTTGTTTTATAGTTTAGCTACCCGACAAAGATATTGTTGGCACTATCCATGGTGCAAGAATCCCGAAGTAACACTGGTTGGGAGGTCCAGTTACACTCTTCCGCCATGGGAGTTGGTTACTTAAGATTTCTGTTCTTTTTCCTACTAAACTACTCTTAATTTTTTTTAAAATAATGTAATCTTAGCATTTTTTCTAATTTATACCAATATTAATTTTTTATACACGTGATATAATAAAAAAATATACATATAATCATATGTAAAAAAAAATCGTGTTACTAATCTTTTTGAATAACTATATTATTGATGTAAAGTATTCTCTTATAAGTAAAAAAATAAATAAAAACTTTTTTTAAGTTTTTTTTTTCGTCTTTGGAGTATCCACTGCTGATAGTAGTGACTAATCTTCTCGCTATGTTGTTTTTTAATTTTTAAATATAAGTAAATTTTAACTATTTTTGTCTCATTTAATAATACTTTTTATAAAATATTTTTCTTTAAATGCATAACCTTTCAGTTCATTTTTTTTTACATTTATAATAAAGACAATTTATGAAAAATATAATAGGAATAATAAAATTTAATATAAATAAATAATATTATAAAACCAATTTTTTTAAGTACATTTATTTTGTTGATAACTAATTTCTATCGAAAAACTTGGTGAATTACTTTTAGTATAATCTCTCCTTCCAACTATATTTTTCATTAAAAGACAACATTACATCATTAATAAAACAAAATGACCTAATTGAACCAATTAAGTAAACAGAGAGATTAAAAGAGTATTTAACTGTTTGAATTTTATTTGTGATGTTATTTTGCAAACATGGTAACTCATTAGTGAACATTAGACACAAGTTTTGTCTTTCAATGACACTAGGTTGAAATTGTTTGCATGTAAATAGGATCCAAAGCATGGACACTGGTGGCTGGAATTTGGGTCAGGTCTACTGGTAGGGTACTGGCCAGCAAACATGTTCAGCCACTTGAGGAGCCATGCAAGTATGGTGCAATTTGGAGGAGAAATTGTGAACAGTCGTTCAAGGGGTTACCACACTGGCACCCAAATGGGGAGTGGCCATTTTGCTGAAGAAGGGTTCAGAAAAGCAGCATATTTTAGAAACTTGCAAGTGGTTGATTGGGACAATAACTTGATCCCTCTTAGAAACATTCACCACTTGGCTGACCATTCCAATTGCTATAACATAAGGCAGGGCACCAACACTGTTTGGGGAACTTACTTTTACTATGGAGGGCCTGGAAGGAATGTTAAATGCCCTTGAAGAATTTTAAATACCACCTAATATAGATTATAGAGGCTTAATTTCTTTGTTACATGTATGTCTTCTTTCTTACAATTTTTTTAGGTTAATTATTAATTTGGTACATGTACTTAATTTTGTTTTTATTTGGCACTGCTAAAGTTTTGTCTTAGATTATTTGGTTCAGTTGGATTTTTTTAGGTAAGTAATGTCTAGCTAATAATTATTTTTACTAAAGATTAAATTGAGACAAATGTACTTTATTATTTTGATCTTATTCATAAAAATGGTAGGTTTTAATCTCTAATTACATAAATTTAATGCATTTTAGTTACGGTTGATAATTATATTTTTATTAAAAAAAATTATCTGATACCAACATAAACGTGACACAATATTTTTTATTAAATAATATTTTTTATTTATATTATAAATATAATATATGTTGATAAATAGTTAAAAGGTGTAAATATAAACTACAGTGATACACAATATATATTATGGAATCTAATTCAAAATGAAAACTA